GAAAGTAATTAAAATGTTTTTTTCCCCTCAAATTTATTTTTGTCCTTTTTACTTTAAGCACACACAGACATACAATTGAAAAATAACATTACAAGTATAAATGAGTTTTTAAGCTGAACAAGCCAAAATGCTACTACCAGGGTTTTTATGGAATATTGACTAAATGTCTGTAATTCATTCTCAGGCTTATTGTAGGCGTCAAGACACCCTTTAAGAAAAGCTGATCAGATCCTCAATATTCAAATTTAATTTATATTTATTGACCTGATACAGAATGTCCTGCATAATGTTAAAAAATATCACCCTCCAAATTATGGGATAAGCATGGAAAATGACATCTATATGGTTAAGTACAAGCCACAGTAGATGAATCAGAATTATTTGCGATAACTCCATAATAATCTAGAAGAATATTGTTATTAGGCCTATGTACCTGCCAAATTTTAAATACAAGGATTCTCGAATTTTGCAATATCCTTAGAAAAGATCAGAGGACGTATTCTAGTATGCAATGTACAATCCCTAAAAAATGCTTTTTGAATTTTATGATTAGAAAGCCTCACTGTTTATTATAGAAAGTTTGAAGACTGCAAAAAAAAAAACACCCATAAACCCAACATATAACATTCGGAAACAACCAGAGGTCCTATGTTGGTGCATTTTCTTATAGCTTTTCAAAACAGTATAGTACTTGATAGTCCCCTAGTCTTCACCTGATTGTTACAATGATGATTTTCCTCATGTGCTCAACATGTTAGCTTCTTAAATCACATCTTTCCTTTCCCTTTTAAAAGTACATAAAATACAAATATTATACAGGCTTCCCATCTCCCCCCAGCACCCTCCCACTAACTCCTTGTGGTCGAGCAGGATGGTGCAGAAAATCTGAAAAGTGAAACAAGAAAAAAAAAAAAGGTTTCACTGACAGTTTAATTAAAACTCTAATGGGAAAAGATTATAATACCATTGAAACTCTTCCTCTCCCCCTCCCCGTATCTTAAGATATTTCAGAGTGAATTATCCAGGAAGAAAGACCACAAAAGGGAGATTCGCATTGTTAAGGAGAACTAAATCGACAAGGCAATTATCTCCTCTAAAAAATTCTTCACTCCGGGGACCACAGAGTGGGAGGGGGACTGGCTTTTTTTCTGTGTCCCCTTTGTACCTCTTGAATTGGAGATCAGAAGCAGGTATTTAAAAAATATATAAGTGTACTTTCTAAGTACAGTAATAAATGTATCTGTATTACAATCTTAAGGGACCAAGCTCATTAAATAAGAAACATACCACCTCTGTTTCTTAGTACATAAGCTTCTTGGCACTTCTCCGTTGTCTCGCTTTCCATTTCAAAATCAAACTTTATTTGGAGAGGACGGTGCACAGTAACTAAAAATAGGACACCTGTTCCATTTTGTCCGTGAGTATATTGTCAGAAAAGCCTTGATGACACTCCCCAAACTAGATGATCAGCCCATATAAAATAGAAACATCTAACGATATTTATGCAATGAATCTTTATAGTATTTGTACAGTTTCTACTCCAGGAGTTTTTCACGCATTCTCCAGACACATCCCACTGGAAGACGGTGAGTCAGGGACTGGAAGGTGGACCGATGTCCTGTTTGGAGTACAAAGTGCAAGACGATATATGGTGGGTGCAAGGTGAAGGCTCCTCTTGGGGCTGCTGCCTCTGATGAGCTTCCCTTCCCTCCCACTCTGCCACAATGTGATCCATTCATTTTCTGAAACATTTATTTAAATCCATTCTCTTCCTGAGTCAGTATGGACTTCGCTCATCTTATTTCCTTGAACCATTTCCACCTTACATGGCTTAGCAATTGCAAGGAAGCAGTTTCTTCCGGAGCACCAAATGGATAATATGTGCTTACACAGATGTAAAAAGATGTACCATGTGAACTTTCCTTCCAAAATGACAAGTGAATCTGGCTTTAAGTCACAGTATCAAGCATTGCAAGATTTGTACTTTGCTATATAGCGTGAGAATCTACTATGGGGGGCCTCTCTTTGTTGTTTCTATTCTATTTCAACGTGACTGTCGGTCCGGCTTGGAGGACGAGCCAGGGACCCACTGGCGATTAGCCCGACAGCCCAGGCAGGGTCACTCTTGTAACAGAATCAGTCCTGACCCAAACGCCAGACTTGAGTGACAAAAAGCTTGATTGTGCAATTTTCTCAGTAAGCTGACCTGAGGCTTAGTCCCGTATTTGCTTTCTACACACTAGAAAATATGTTTAATGCGTTTTGGAGTGTTCCACACGAAGCGTTTTTGGCTTGTTAACACAGCTTAAACTGTTGTGCCTCATTATGAGACTGTATTTTGAGAACAGGCGGTGAAAGTTGGGATTTTTCTCTTCCTCCTCTTTTTTTTCCCCCTCCTGCTTTAAAAACAAGATAAGCCTGTATGCAAATAGAGTCCGCGGTAACCACAGTAACATTCTCAACTTTATTTATTGAATTGCAGAGTCTTCCTTCACCCGTTTAAGTTCTATTTGCATACCTTTGACATTATCAACATTTATTCCAGTAATGAGTCATTTGAGACATCTTCTGGTTTATAGCTTAGAGCTGGATTCAACAGTACTGATGTCTTCTGTATTAAAACTTAGGACTCTTTATGTGCAGAGAGAGACAGACAGAGAGAGAGGCTTTTGTTTTGTTTTGTTTTTCATTCTAAAATGGAAATGTGCCCAAACGAATTAAAGACAATATCTGAAACGTATTTAGTTATGTATTTCACACACTAAAGGAATATACTGTGACATTCTCATTCTACAAAGAGAGAAAGGATAGGCATATTCTCTTCCCGTGCTGAATATATCTAGTCTCTTAAAAAGGAGTATTAGCTTTATATTTTGAATATTTTTTCCAGCTTGACTGAGATAGCATCAACTCGTAACATTGTGTAAGTTTAAGGTGTACACTGTGTTGATTATATTTCGACGATTTTTAAATGGAAAGAAGAAAAAAGAAAGAAGGCAAGAAAGAGAGACGACCTCAATACTTTTCTCAGAAAGAACAGGAAGCCTGAAGGAGGAAGTATGTGACAGTTTATTTTTCAACAAGTCCCCGTTATCAAGTGAATGAAATTCCTCTGGAAGCTATAAACATGAAGACTGGAGGATGGCTGTGTGCAGATGGCACAAAGGCTCCTCGATATTTAGATCATTTTTTCAAAGCTGAGTTATTAATGAAAGCCAATTATTGCACTTTTCCAAAAGGAAACACTGAGTCATTCATGAAATGATCTAAGATTTCGAAACTTGCTTACACCATTTTTTTTTTCCTCCTTCTTTCCTACCTGTGCCAAAAGCAGGCTCAGAAAAGCCAAGCCGGCCCCAAATTAGCCCAAGACTGGAGTAATTTAACAAAGACTCCAGATGCCCTAAAGGGTGACTGTCCCACCAGGATGGCAGGCTCAGAAGTGCCTCCATGGCGGGGAGGGGCCCCTGTCCCCTCCCTTCGGGGGGCCTGTGATTAACTAGTTCTGGCATAGCAATTATTTGGCCATACCCTTGGCCTGCCTCCAAGTTTCATGTGTAACAGCAAATGGGCGTGGACCCGCAGATAGGCAGGCCCGTGTTTTTAGAAGCCATTACATATTTATGGCCAGAGCCCTACAGAATTTGGCCAGAGCTGGATACAGATGAGAATGCGTTTGGCGAGGAAATAGTGACTTCTAGATCCATTTATCAAGAGAGCTTACGCTTACATCATTAATCGGTGTCCAAAGACAGTCAACAGACGTTTGGATCAGGAATAAACTGTGAGTGAGGTGGTTTTCACCTCGGCACAGCTGCACTCCGTCCCTTTCTCGCTGAGGAAGGGTATTTCTAAGCATGACTTGGGAGAAATTCACTGTGAGTTAAACCATCGAAGTTTCCAAACAAGCCCCGTGGAAGCAGCCTATTTCATCTTTACAAACGACTGTAAATCCATGTCGATAAATAATGGAGACAAGGAAACGTTTTGATCCAAACGATACAGAAAAGCTTGGAATCACGCCTCCTTAACATCACGCCTCATGTTTGCGTTGTACTATCTGAAGGATTTTACACGTAGATTACCTTAATGTCGCTCTGCCATGTAGAGAGGAGACCTGCACGCTGGCCCATTTCACAGATGAGGAAAACAGTGGCTCAGAGACGCTGTCACCTTTCCAAGGTCACAGAGTTAATTGATCGCGGAGCCTGAACGTAGGTCCAGGACTCCTGGCAGAGTGCTTGGCCTTGTTCTCCTTGTAAGCTGGGTCTGAATGTTCCCTGCTGTATATCTAGAGTTCCTGAGCTTCTAGGCCTGCTGCTACACTAAGCCAGAGCTTTTCAACTCCTAGAATTCCCGAGGAATATTCAAGTCTCCTTTGTACTCCCTACCTGAAGACCTCGGTCCCTTTTTTCGCAATGGGGATGCACTCCTCAGAGAAGGAAGTGGTCTAGATTCTGGTTATTAGTGTAGAGCGGCTTCCTCTTTTACTCCTTGAATTTATTTTGGTGTTATTTTATCCCAACACCTAAAAAAAATCCCAGATTCTGCACCACATATGAGGGACTTTTTAAAAACACCCTTCCTCATCCACTGAGATGTTACGAATAATCCCCAGAGATTTTTAATTTTCCATGTGTGTGTATATTGTTCACAATTTTTTTAACAGTGATCTTCCCCCCCCATGCCACCCCCATCTATTTAAGACAAAAAAATTTTTTTTTTAAAAAACTCTCTTATTTTTGTGTAACTCACCTTATGTCATTCACACGAGGGGTGGTTATTACTAACACCAGTAAAAAAAAATATTGCAGCGTTTCATGACGAACCCTTAGACAGTGTGTTCCTGTCTCACTCATGTAGAATATGCCTGGTAAGCACTGGTTAAAAATTGGTGATTCCAGCGCAGTCCTCCTCAAGTTGATTTTTGTGAGATACCTGGGAGACCTTGAACATTCTGTTAGAGTTTATAATCACGAGAAGAAGGACAGAGGGTGGTGTTCAGGAGGAATATTGCTTTATTACTCAGCTAAAAGTCCCTTTGGCACTAAAAGTCCCTCCTCGCTGTTGCTGCAGGCTGTGGGAAGTCAGCATTTTCTTTCTCTTACTGGCATTTTCACTATGCAGAAGAGCCGCCTCCTGTGAACGATTCTATTTTCAAAATATGTGAAAGAAAACGTTGTTCTTTTAGTAAATGACCCCCCCCCACCCCCTTGGTTACAGATCCCTCCCCCTCGCGTGGACTCTTACGTGCAAAGCAGTCGCCGTTGGGGGAGGGGACGTTGTCCCCAGCTCACAGCGCAACAAGGGCATCATTTTAATATCTTTCTCACCACGTCTAAAGTCTCGAGCGCTGTTCTAAGTGTTTTATGTGCGCTAGCTGGGTGAAGCCTTGCCACCGCCCTATGGGGCGGATCCCAATGCGCAGAGGGGTAAACCGAGGCACGGAAGCGTTAACTAACCTGTCCGTGATCACACAGCTCAGCGGCCAGGCTCTGACTCATAATTTTTTGCTCCCTCCAGGCGTCAATGCAGCCTGCAAACCTTCGATGAAGGTAGTTCACTGACCTCTGTCCCAGAGGCAGGATTTTTTTTTTTTCGAATGTCAGAGTTGTGTAAGTGAAAGTAAGGGGAGTCTCAGTAAGGAGACTTGGATTGAATAGACAGCGGGAAGCCACTGAGAAAGAAAATGCGTGTGACATTGATCTGGGTCAACATTTTACTTCTGCCCATTACTGTTTCCTATAAATCTTTGAGCCAACTGGCTGTCGCAACTCCAAAACATGTAGTGATTCCCTAGCTAGGTCAGGGCAGCTAGAAAACATGACATTTTAAGAGTAAGTTCTAGATGCTTTAGCTTTGAACGAGCAGATTCATTTCAGTTCATTTTAAATGCTTATAAATCTTAAGTCATAAACTGTTAATTCACTAGCTGAAGGACTCATAGTTGCTATCTTAAAAAACAGCAACCAACAAGCCAACTAGAAACAAAAAAATTTAAAAAGCAAACACGACCAAGCAAACCAACAAGCTAGACCTAGTCAGAATGCTTAAGAAACAGATATTTTGCTTAATTATATTTTCTACTTGCTCAGAGGTCCACAAATAAAAGTTTAGTTTCATCTTTTCTATACTTAAATACATATTGTAAAATGTGTTTATGTCTGTATACATCTTTCTTGTGCATTTTCAAATGTACAAGAAACATTTCTCAATCTTTAAACATTTCAAGATGGTAAACATGTCATCTTTTATGAAACAAGTTTAGGTAGCAATAAACCAAACCACAAGTAGAAAAAAATATATTTTTCTCGAATAATTCACAATTCTTCAGGGTCTTCATTCTGAATCGAATAATCGTTCATGACGAAATAGAAAAAAAAAAAACAAATCATTAAGTTAAGCTTCACCTGCGTGGACTTCAGAGCATTCCCTGGAAGCTTCTTTTTTTTTGGACCGAATTCCTAATATCAGTTTTGTTCTCATGATTTATCTCTTCCTCTTTCTAAGAGGGAAGTGAAAAATTAAAAGGGCTCAGTTTTTATACACACATATTCTTAAATACAGCACATGCGATGTGGATATTACAGTGTAATTTCAACAAGAGCAAGAAAAGCTATGTCTGGGAAACAAGTGCGTAGAACTTACATGGGTCATTAAAACTTGTCTTTATTATCAGGTCGCTAGACGCTAAGGAAAGCAGGCAAGCGCTCTAACTAAAGTGTAATTTAATTAAACTTTACATCTTAGGTATGATGAAAAGACCTGAAGGCTCTCATTTACATCAACATGAACTCCACATAGATCCCATCTGAGAAAGTCGAAATGATTTCATTGTATGAAGGAGTTCGGTGAACTTTTTATTCTTACTGAGTAAAGTAGATTTATACTGATTAAGCCAGACACCACGACTGCATAAGTCTACGCCAGTCCTTTCTCCATGGAGAGGTGGCCTCTTCCCCACTGCAGCCATGATGGTCCCCATTTACCCAAACCTTGACGAAAGGAAAATTTAGCAAGCAAATGCAGCCAAATGAACCATCTATGTAAAAATCGTGAATTTCTGATGTCTCTGGCATTGCAGATCTTGGATTCAAATGCATATAGGAAGAGATTAATTACCCGGTTATTCTGCAGTCAGAGTGAAGCCATGATGGAGTGCTAAATGAAAATCTTACACCCAGAGATCCATTCAATAACATACATCTATGATGGACCTACTCTACTGGGCCATATTTGAGGGGATGGGAGTACATTGATATGTAATATCAATATAATATATATGATACATAATATCCATATAATAATATATAATGTACTCACAAGTCTCTTGAAAATATAGTTACTTTCTTGCAGCCATGACCAAATTGGAGCCTTACAAAACATAGCCAGGGACATTCTTTTTCTTTTGCTTATTCACTGAAAATTTATTGAGCACCTACCGTGTATCAGAACCTGCGTTGGCACAGAAATGCAGAATCGAACAAAAAAAGATGGCCCTAACAGGAGTCAAAATTTTAGCCGGGTAAACAGACATTTTTAAACAGCTCATTCTAGTGGATCCCAACCATTTGTAAGCATTAGAATTGACAACTGGCTTGATTAAAAATGCAGATTGGTGGGGCCTTCCTGGGTACCTAGAGGTCTCTAGCCCTCTGAGTATCACTCCAGGGGATGTAAAGGCAGGTGTTCTTAGCTGGCACCTTGCAGAAAGTACTCATCTGCAATTGGAATAAGTGCTCAGTAGAAAATTTACATAGCACTGTGAGGGCAAGCTCCTCTGTGAGGAATAAGACATATGGCACCTGGGACCCATGATGCTTTTAGGGGCCCAGAAAAATGTTTATTTTGATGTCTTTTAAGACCAAATACACACACACACACACACACACACACACACACACACACACACACACACACACACATAATGGAATATATAATAATAAACCCAGCCTGGTTTATATCTGCCTTTGTGCCAATGCATTTGCAAAATATAATTTTTAACATCCTTTTAAGGAGGACAAGGCCCACGAAGGCAAAAATACGTTGGTCCCACAACAGTCCTAATTTGGCCCTGATGCTATGGAGCTACATATATACAAGGGACATGGCTCTGGCGGTGGATAAGGCTTCCAGGTAGAAGGGACAGTTGAATTGAGACCTGCAAGGAGAGTAGAAATCAACTCTCCTAAAGGCAGGGTAGGAAGGAATAAGCGAGGAGTAGTTTGCTTCCAAGAGGAGATGAATCTCTCAGATACATTGATTTTTGTCTTATTGATTTGCAAAGCTTGCATGACAATCTACTTTTAGTTATCTTTTTAATGTTAATAACTGTCTAGATTTTTGTTTGTTAGGGCTTGAGGGTATCTGTGAAAAGAAAAAAAAAAGAAGGAAGAAAACATTCAGAATAAACAAATTTCTTTGTCTCTCAGAAGTTTTCTTGGTTTCTTTGATACTGAGATTTGATTGGTAGGCAGGATAATCAAGTTGTCATCACTATTGCTACAGACTGGAAGTGTCTCAAAAGCTTTATGTCTGATTGTAAGAAAACTTGTGTAGATCTTAGAGTCAAAATATTTACTCTGTTCTGGTAGGTGAGGGGAGAAATAAAACCATGAATACTGTGATTTCATTTGTCATCACACTCCACATTTGTAGCACAAGGCACATGAAATTGATGGTCCTATCATGTCCCATAGGGGCCTCCTATAACCGTACCCCCCTTATAACATCAGGGAGGGTTGGGGATTGTGACAAACAGAGGAAATATGCAGTCTGAAGGAGGCAGCCATAGTCAGCGTTAGCCAGATGTCGAGGCGTAGAAATGCTGGTCTAATATTGATGTACATTCCTCTTTTTCGAACCTGGGTTTTTATGTGAAGTCTCTCAATTTTCTAAATATCAGGGACCAACCAAAATGCATCTGTGGCCACCATCAGCTGGTGAGCTTCAAATTCAGGGTCACCGGGTAGCTTTCCACAACTCCAGGGGGCACCATTCATAGAGCGGCTCCTTGGAGCAGGGCAACGTGGCAGCCTCACCTGAGTCACAGCCTACTCCTTCTTCATACCCAGGGGAAATCAGGCCCATGTTTGCTCCATTCTCAGCTTGAGCGGCGGCTGACCCACCCCAAACACTCAACAAATATTTGTTGAATGAATCGACATCTTGTCTTTTCCACAAAGATGTGACGGCTGACCCTAGTTCTTTCTCTCTTTCTGGAACCGCCCTAATCAATACCATCTATGCATCCTATCTCCACGCCTTATGAACTGTCTGACCTTGGACAAGTTACTTAACCTCTCTTGCTTCTGTTTTTTCACCTGTAAATGGCAACGATAATAAATCTTAGTCTTGTGAGAACTCATTAGTTAATATGTGTAAAGTGCTTAGAACAGTGTCTGGCGCATCATAAGTACTCAATACGTGCTGGCTGGTATTATTATTTAATTGTATCTTAATTAATCACCTTATATTTTGTGTATCTCTCTCGACTGAAAAACCTTTTATGTGCTGATTCTATGACTTTTATCTTGTTTCTCTCATAGCAATAAGCATGATACAACCTGCAGAGTAAACGCTTAATAACTATTACAGAATCGCTAAAGGTAAATTTTAGCAACTATATTAATTAGGATCTAAATCAGTTGTGAATGACAGCGACAGACCCAAAACCCACATGATAAGAATTTATTTGTCCTTCATGAAGAATAAATCTGGAGGTAGTCGGCCCCAGGCTGTGTGGCATCCATCATGTCAGGAACTGGGCTTTTCAGTCTCACTGTTCCACCATCCTTTCATGTATCTTCTGCCACATGACCCAAAATAGTTGCTCAAGCTCCAGCCATCAGACCACATTCCAGCAAGCAGGAAGAATGAGGGGAAGTTTGCAAAGGAGACACGCCTGTTTAAGGACACTTCCAGGAAATCATATATAGTCCATGGGTCCCGAATCCCTGGGCCACGGACTGGTACCAGTCCATGGCCTATTAGGAACTGGGCTGCACAGCAGGAGGTATGTGGTGGGGCTAGTGAGTAAAGCTTCATCTGTATCTGCAGCCGCTCCCCAGCACTAGCATCACCGCCTCAGCTCCACCTCAGTTCATCAGGCATTAGATTCTCACAGGAGCACAGGTCCCTGGTGCCATGAAGGTTGGGGACCGCTGATATACACCCCTTCCCTTTACAAATCATTGGTCAGAATGTAGTCACATAGCTACTCAGGTGCAAAAGAGGCTGGGAAACATACTTTTATCTGCGTGGCCATGTGCCAACTAAAAGTTGGGGATTTTATTGCTGAGGGAGAAGGGGAAACAGATATTGGGGCAACTAGTGGTCTCTGTCCTGGTGGCTGAGTTTGCTGTGTGGATACTACACAGGCTGGAATGATTCCAGCCCTATCGAAGGAAGCTGTTAACACGGGCCTGGCTGTGAGTTCTGCGAAAGCCCTATTCTATCTTTCTCTTAAAATTCTACTACTTTTAGGATTGATGGCTTTTCATTTATAAATGTCAATGTTCACTTATAATGGAACTCCCTAAGGAAGAAAGACATAC